GTTGTTGTCTTTCCTACAGCATTGACGCTTTCATCGGAATGCACTTGATAGGGCATCCATGCGGTATCTTTCATTAATATTGTGATCGAACCGAACAGATTTCTGGTATTTTTCTCGTGTTTCACTTGTCAAAGATGGAGAGGACTCTTCCGAGTATGTAAGGTCAGCTTCAGAGTCTCCAAGGGAGGATATATCGCTAAGTACATCGTTGCCAGCATCTGTTTTATAGGTAGTGAACCTATACGTCCCGCCACACGAAATTATCTGTTGTGCCTCCGATACTAATTTTAGATTTTTATTTGCTGTTGCATTACTAGCATTTATTCCATATCTTGGACTCGTCTCCTCGCCCATTTTCCTTTTTCTGTCGCTCGATTTATGGAGCCATGTCCTTGCATCTTTTTTAAACTTTTTCACCCGACCACCTATGACGCATCTTAAACAATACGGGTCATTTTCTGATTCAAAATACGTAACATTGTATAGAGAATAGTTGATCGGAAACCTTATGTAAGTTGTGACAGATTCTTGTGAAAAATTAATAGTCTGATTGAAGTTTCTGTTTACTGTATCTTCGTTTTCACTCGAGTCAGCATTGCACACATTAACCCCCGTATCTTCTGAGGGTACTTGGACCACTCTAGGCATTTGCAGAAATAATCTGATCACAAATTAACTCATATTTTTTCGTCAACTATGCAGTTTTAGGCACCATTGTTTTTTATGACGTCATGACGTCTTTTCCGAATGAACTTTCGCGGGTTTTATTGTGCAGCCGTCACGTATTTTTATATCCCGTGACCAATTTTTAACGATTGTTTTGCAGTTTTAATTATTTATGCGTGGACTTTGCACGGATATAACAATGCGTTTTATGACTGCGATATAGCGTTTTATTTGCAATACGTACATTGATATATTCAAAGGGACTCAAATGAGGTTTTTTGACATGAAGAGACTTGAATATTTTCACGAGATTTATGTATCATTTGGTGTAGGTCTGAACTAACAATTTCAGTGGAAAATTTCAGATCATTCCCTCACTTGGTTAAAAAAAAATAAAATATATATAATGAATATATATTGCTAAAATTGCCAAGTAAAAAATGAAAACGTTTTTTACTCAAAACCGGGCTAAAAATCGTGCAAAAAATGGATTTTCACTCTTACTCAATTTCTTTAGTATCTTTTATAGATTTTTCGAATTAAAGTGCGTCACTTCATCTATGCAAGAATTCAAATTTTAATTTTTAATGTTAACATGGGATTTTTGCCTCATCGGAGCTGAAAAAAAGGGAAAAGTTGCGAAATGAAGTGAATGATTTCGTTGCCGGCGACAACTGACAAAATCACCAAAATGACAAAATTTACTTCAAAAGCTAAATTCATGTTCATCTATTTATAATTGATCGTATGGTCACTCAAACTATTTAAATCGTAAACAACATTAGTACACATAACCCTATCTCGACTGAGTAAAATACTAGATTGCATTTCGATCGTTATGAGAACCATTCTTAGAATTTTCAATCGAGCACTACCAATGCGTTTTCAGATGATGACCGTGATTCTAGACTACCCAGCGTGAAAAGTCCGGGGAATGGACCAATCCATTTATTTGAAAGGGAATGACTACTCATTGATATTACCGTTTTGTATACACACAGTATTTGTTTCCCGTAATAAAGCCAAAACCTTATACATTTGGTTCAACATGATATTTAAAACGATTAAGTTATTCTTTGAATTGAAAAAGACAATGCATGAAAAAAGTGAGTTATACACCGTTTCTACCGCGCGAGGACCCGTCGATTTCCATGTAAACAAAATTTGACACATTGGATTTCCCTGTGTAATTAACAGATTAACGCATATAGGTTTTGCGTATTTTCTTTTTTTTCATCGCTCTTGATACAGGTTATATAATATTTAAATGAGCGCGTTATTGTATGCCGACAGTTTGCTGGATCAGAAACAAGAAAATAATTTAGAAAATGACATAACTTTGAAGAAAACCTTGTCCAACTGTGACATGGACGAAGGCATAGAATGTAGTTACTCCCAGGTGAGAGTTTTTCTTGAGTTTTACTCAGTCTTTTATTTCCGTTCTTTTTTTTAAAAAATATTGAAATTCAAAAAGCAGTTGAACGGAATCAAATTTGCATTTCCCTAGTTAAAAGTTTATGAAACGGTTTTGTTGGACATTTTCATATAATGTGACATCATTGCACGATTTCCACGGGCATATTATGCCTTACAACGGTTACGATTTTTCCGTTACACATGTCAACCTTTTTTATGTTCAACATGAAATGTCTATTTATGTTCTTTTTTTAGTTTATACCTGAAATGATTCTATATACAGTATAGATGTAGTTTGAGAATTTTTATTTCTCTTTGGCATAATTACGGAACGTCTGTGGTTCTACTAAGGTGCCCGTTCGTGCCTGAAATAATGCACGTAAGGGCACTTGAGGTCTTCCTCCACAAGTAAAAGTTGAAACATCGCCATATGACCTATATTGTGTCGTTGTGACGTAAACCCAAATCAAACAAACAAACTTTGACAGAATATGCACATGTCCCCTAATTTCAGTTTATTCATGAAACGTAATCAGAAGTCCTACACCTTGGAAATGATTTGTAAAATTTCTCACATTAATTAGGCGTGAACGGTTTGACCCATTTTACAGACTGAGTCACTCGAATATTTTTTCATACTGTCAAACCGTTTAGAAAGTCATCGCCCGTCCAACATTATCTCGATGTGTCTTTGACAAGTCTAATTTGTTGGACTATCCCCCAGCATAGCAGGGAATGGGGGGGGGATTGCGCGTGGGATGGGGGTGGGGGGGGGCAGTAGTTGAAATTAGAAGTGATATGTTTACTTTTTTTCATGAAACGTAGTCAGTGTGACAGGTGACTCATTTCTCGAAATTCTTACACTTGATTTTAGATGATTTTTGAAACTAACCTTAAAGCAAAGCTGCGGATAGTGGGGAGCGGGAAGGTGCTTGAGAAGCAGAGGAGAGGAGATAAAAATGTTCTTTTTGTGCGTGTGGGGGGGGGGGCGGTTTCGTGGCATTATTGGGTCAAGGGAATGAATGGTTTTGTTGTTATACATCAAAATAGGAGGGGGTATAGCACATTATTCTATTGACCGGGGTTCCAAAGGAGTTTTGCTTTACAATTCAAATCATTTGCTCTCACTTTTTATACGTTCGAATCCTGCAAGGGACTTTGATTTTTTTCATGTGAGGAGACTTGCACTCTAGCTCCGGAAGAGTCGTTAATTTTATTTAGGTGCCAGGTTCAGGACATATGGAAATATGAGGTGACATCTGAGGTTTTTCCTTCACTAGTATAGCTGGGAAGTCTCCATATTATCATTACTGTGTCGGTGTGATCCGGTCTTATTTACTGTCATATTTGTTATCATCATTTCTGTTGAGAGTTGTATATAAATTATAAAAGAAGATATTACAGTGAGTGTTTTCTGGTGCTCCAAGCGCTTAAAGCCAAGTACAAGTTCGTCTGCAACACACTGAAGACAAGTTTTGTTGTAACTTTACATGTTCTTCTGTAAACAAAAAAAAACAACACGAGTCGGCTAAGCAGGGCTCTATCTGTCGGTATCAATTCTAGTAATTTCTAAAGTTTTACTAACTTGGCTGTAGAAGTTATAAATTGACTAAAAGATTTCTTATTCATGGTAGGTAAAAATTTCTTATAAAATTAGGCAACCATACTCTTACTATAAGAATTTTTTATCGGGGTAAACCTTGGTAAAAGTATTGTCTGTGCGCAATAATTTTGATAATGTGGTATCGTTTTTTAAACGAAATATAATGAGCGTGTGTTTTGACTGCGCTGATTAAGTTCTGGATATTTTCAGATTTTTGAAATTGACGAAGACAAAGTTCAAACCACACCGGAAGTCGTCTGTGTAAGCTCCTCGCTATGCGACTCCGGCTTCACAGAATCTATCAACGAAAAATTAAACCTACATTGCCTCGAATGCGTCCTAGAGGTACCGACGAAAAAAACCCACACAGGGGGAACCATCCAGTGCACGTGCTCGAACCAAGAGCATGATGGATTCGAAGATTATGTCAGCGAAATATATTTACACAGATTAGGTCTGGAGGAAAAGTATCACGTGCCGGCATGTCTTGATAATCAACCAGAGGTAGTAGCTTAATGAGTAGCCTCGTTTTGATATAATTTATGTAATTCAATATCATTTTTGTTACTGAAGGGATTGACTCCAGGTTTCAAATGGTTTTCCATTAGAGCATTGAAATGTCAGTTAAACGTTTATTGAGATGGTCATATGCATATTATGTGGTGCAACAATATTAAACATTTAAGTGCTTTCTTAATACTGATACAAACATATATTTATATCATAATTGTTTACTGTGTCCAGTATTAAACTACTCGTGCTTCGCTGTCTCCCCTGAGAGCTCTTGTTGGTATATGTAATTCAGAACGGTAGGAATTATGCAAAATTAACGCAGAATTTAATTCTAATTTCATTTACTGTCAAAAAGTTTGATCAGTTACTTCTGTGTTACTCGTTTCGACCATTAAAACAGATTCGGCGTTGCTATTTAGAACTTCACACTGCACATGCCTGAAATATTTTGAAGAAGGATTGAAAACTTCGAAATGAAAATTTGAAATAGCAAAGTATTATGCAGATCTAAATTTAGAATTTAGCGTTAATGTTATATTTATTATAAAAAAAATCGAAAATGTTTTCAAAAAGATATTTCTTCTTTTCAAATTTTGTATGTATTGTGAGTTCAATTTTATTATGCTTTAATTTTTTACACAGGTGTCCACGGGGGTACGAAGGGTTTTAATTCAGTGGCTCACGTCTGTTCATCATTGTTTGAAGCTATGTCAGGACACACTCTACCTTGCTGTAAACATCATAGACCGCGTGCTGGATGTGATGCAGGTGTCACGTGACTGCCTCGAGTTACTTGGTATCACGTGCTTACTTGTTGCTAGTAAACAGGTAACCTATAGTTTCTTTTAGGTAATAATTCCAATTCTCTGTGTGTTTTTTGTGTGTTTTTTGTTTTTGTTTCTATGACCGCATTCACTTATCTTTGAATTATTCCTACTTGAAATAATTTATTAGGGACACATCTTGTGTACTTACATCAGTAATGGTATAAAACGATGTAGCGTCACCATTTGGCCATTGCAGTGTTTCAACTGAAAACCCAACCTCCAACCCAACTGAAATTTAAAGGCCCTGAAAAATGCCTTTATCCCAATAGACTTCTTATGTATATACATATTATGTATAAAGAAACAATTACTAAATGACTGCTTTTCTCTCTGTGCCACGGTTTCCATAGCAAGTGATAGCCTTTACATTTATTTAATGGTCGTGTGTTATCCCATAGTGACCGAGGGGCTGCCTTTAAAGGTTGCGGCATCAGAATTACAGAGCCACCGTTTATCCCTTCGTGATCGTAAGAGGTGACTTAATGGAAATTGAATTATTGGAGTATATAAATCTCTTAGCTCCAGCAGGTGGGTGGTTTTGACACCTGGTGATATTTAAAGTTTGTAACACCCGAGGTTAGCCAAAATCATATTTCCTGTTTCGGCGCCATATTACCTAAATTGTGTTGGAGCGCCTTAAAGCCAAACTAAACAAATAAAACTACCGTTGTAATACATGTACAAACAAATGGACATACATGTAGCATAAGTAATATAAAGACAACATTATTTGAAGCGATGGCTCCTTTTGAAATAAGCAAGGTAAAAAATGATAAATTCACAATTATTTTTTTCCAGAATGAGATTTGTCCACCGGAAATCCACGAGTTGCTAGAGAAATGTGAGGACACTTTCACGCGAGAACAGGTGAAACAGCTCGAGATGATAGTTCTCATGGCAACCAGTTTTGACCTGTTAGCACCGACAGTTCAACAGTTCCTTGAGTACTTCGCGTCATTCTGCCTCGCCATTTATGCCGGCGACGAAGAACAGACTTATAGGTTAAAGTAAGTTTTTGAATTCTAAATTGTTTCTGTATTGAAAATTTCCCCCATCTAAATGTTTAAGTGCTGAATATTGCTTAAGCTGATGCAAGGGGACGTCGACGGTATCTTGCGTTTACCGTCAATGAACAGACTCAATAAAACTTAAGCCTGCAGCTGTTACAATTTGGGCGTTTTAGGCGTTCCTTAGGTATCCATTTTCTTAAATTCTCTGTACATAAAAAATGTATGTCTATCCATTTTGGTAAGGTTTTGATGACATAAGCTTGTACTTGTTGTTATGCTGCTTGCAAGGAAATATGGAGCACAAGATCTCTAAACATCCGGTTCGTGTGGAAGTCCAAGCACGACACCTCTCTAATCTGCACCATGCCTAAAATTTCTGTTATACTGTATGTTTTAAATTAAAATTGTTATTTAGACAAACAGTTGTATTCTGAAAATGGAACAAGGTATACACATTAAGTTAAAGGGGCATCCTGGTAAAGTGGTAAAGGCCGATGACTTCAAACCATTGAACCCTCACCATTGAGGGTTCGAATCCCGCCTAGTACTGATTATTTCATGTAATGAATATCTAGCCAGCTTGCAGTGTCCGTGGTTCTACTCTGGTGCCAGTTTGCGCCTGAAATAATGCACGGAGGAGCACCTAAGGTCTTCCTCGGATGCTAAAGAGCCGCCATATGACCTTTACTGTGTTGGTGCGACGTAATTCCAACCAAAGTCTTTTTTTTTTCTTTTTCATAAATATTCCAACCAAACACATTAAATGCACCAAAGCGTGGACGACCAGAAATGATAAACCTTTAAAGTTTCATTCAAAATATTGTAGAATTGTTTCTATTTTTAGAATGGCACGTGCTGTGGGCCGGTGTTTATTAGAGCTAACGCTGCAAGATTACGAATTCTGTCAGTTTCGACCCTCCCTCCTCGCTCTGTGCGTATGGAAAGGTAGTGTGGAACTCCTGAAAACGTACGATGGCAATTTTGTACCCCCTGGAATGACCATAGTAAAACAACACTACGATTTATGTCTCGCCGAAGTAAACTTGTTTATTGATAATTTCCGACAACAGTGCCCGGATATAACATCCGTCTGCGAAAAATACGCTGATCTCTACGGACAGAAGATGTAAAACTGACAAGTCCGTAGAAAAAAAACAGTACAAAAACACGTGTATAAAGATCCATAAAGATTTGAACCGGGAAATCCATAAAGATTTGAACGAGGTAGGTAGAGTGACTGAGTAATCAAGCATCAGTAAAAGTATATAATTATACCCAGGCATTTGTTAATAAACTCTACCAGATCGAAACACCTATAAATGAAGTGACCTCAAAAATTGTAAATGTACATGTTTAACGGGTCTGTGAAAAAAATATAGTCATATTTATAATAATAAAGTTTTGTTAAAGATAAAGTTAGAAAAGTTTAAAGAAACCAATAATTAGACTGTGACAGATGTGACCAGAATGCTTAAAATAAATTTGCGAGATACAAGGGGGACAACTCTGATGGGAAGTTTTGCCATTTTTTACAGCATATTACTTTTCTTTAATATTAGAACGGTGTGCGTTTTTAGGCTTCGTACAAAGCTATCTTTCGTCAATAAGAATTCTTTTCATTTTTCTTAAAAAAAACCAACTAGCATTTATACAAACATTTGATTCTTATTCAAAGTTCTCTGGTAATGATTATTTTTTCTTTCGGGAAACTCTAAAAAAATGGCGGGCAAACGAATGTTTCTACATTAGAACCGGAAGTTATATTTATTCTCAAATGTTTTCATTTGTTCATTTTGAAATGTGAAACGTGTTTATTTTGAATTGCGTAATTACTGTATTCAAACATGTTCATTTTGAACGGTGTGATTGACTGTATTCAAGCATGTTCATTTTGAACCGTGTGACAACTGTAGTGCTATGTTTTCAAACGTTTCATTTTTAGCTCGACTATACGAAGTATATGGAGAGCTGTCCTACTCGCCCCGGCGGTGGCGTCGGCGTCCAGATTTCAGATTAAAATTTTGGTGCAGTAAAATATTTTTCATTATAACTTTGTCATTTCTTAAGGTATCAACTTCAAACTTTCCCCTTGAACTTAGAATTTTCCTTAAAAAATACTATTTTTTACTGTGGCTTCAACTTCATACTTCAAATATATGTACCTTATCATTAACCACATGTTATGTGACAAGGTTCATAACTCAAGCACCATTATTTCAAGAATTATCTCCCCATAAACTTAAATATTTTTACTAGAAAAATGTTATTTTTTACTATAACTTTTTAGTTTTAAAGGTATCTACCTCAAACTTCAAATACTTATTCCTTATCATCAATTACATTTTATGTGATAATGTTCATAACTCTTGAAGCAATATTTATAGATTTATCTCTCTTTGAACTTAGGATTTTCTTTAAGAAATATTATAACTTCTTTACTTTTTAGCTCGACTATTCGATAAGAATAAGTAGAGCTATTGCAGTCACCCGAGCGTCGGCGTCGGCGTCGGCGTAACCACTTATGTTAAAGTTTTTGTAATAGTTCAAATATTTTCAAAGTCCATAGACATATGGCTTTGAAACTTTGCACACTTGTTCACCATCATGACCCCAACCTGTAGACAGGAGGAGGTAACTCTATCAAGCATTTTGACAGAATTATGCCCCTTTTTCGACTTAGAATTTACGTTAAAGTTTTTGTAATAGTTCAAATATTTTCAAAGTCCATTGACATATGGCTTTGAAACTTTGCACACTTGTTCACCATCATGACCCTAACCTGTAGACAGGAGGAGGTAACTCTATCAAGCATTTTGACAGAATTATGCCCCTTTTTCGACTTAAAATTTACGTTAAAGTTTTTGTAATAGTTCAAATATTTTCAAAGTCCATTGACATATGGCTTTGAAACTTTGCACACTTGTTCAACATCATGACCCCAACCTGTAATCAGGAGGAGGTAACTCTATCAAGCATTTTGACAGAATTATGCCCCTTTTTCGACTTAGAATTTACGTTAAAGTTTTTGTAATAGTTCAAATATTTTCAAAGTCCATTGACATATGGCTTTGAAACTTTACACACTTGTTCACCATCATGACCCCATCCTGGAAACAGGAGGAGGTAACTCTATGAAGCATTTTGACAGAATTATGCCCCTTTTTCGACTTAAAATTTACGTTAAAGTTTTTGTAATAGTTCAAATATTTTCAAAGTCCATTGACATATGGCTTTGAAACTTTACACACTTGTTCACCATCATGACCCCAACCTGTAAACAGGAGGAGGTAACTCTATCAAGCATTATTTTTACTATCAAGCACTAAGAATAGTCGAGCGTTGCTGTCCTACCGACAGCTCTTGTTAAGGTATCTACTTCAAACTTCAAATATATATTTCTTATCATTACACACATGTTGTGTGACAAGGTTCATAACTGTAGCGTGACTATTTCTAGAAATATTCCCCTTGATTTTCGAATTTATGTTAACAATGTTATTTTTTTACTTTAACTTAATACATAATTATACATAATTGATTTTTAGTTGGGACATAGTCCCGACTAGTGTATTTACAAACCCGAAATTTCCCACCATACAGGCTAACGCCCACTGCAGTAACGTTTCATTCTGTCATAATTTTGTCTTCCTGCCTGCGTCCAGTATTTTATTAGTCGAGCTTCGCTGTCTCCTGCGACAGCTCTTGTTTATTGTGTGGCAACTGTTTTCAAAGATTTTACACTGAACTGTTAATCAACTGAACTTGATACTACTTTGATTTTAAAACCTGTTAATTTTTGAACCACTTGACAACTGTAAAGTGCCGTCGTAGTGCTTTGTTTTTTCAAACATGTTCTTTTTTAACAGTCCAGCAAATGTAAAGTGTTATAGTTTAAAAACATGTTACATTGGAGCTGTGAAGTAATCGTATAGTGCTATGTTTATTCAACATTCCAGCTTTCTTGTTATGTTAACATAACTCTGTAGTGGCATATAATATTCTGTGATGTATACACATTTAAACTGTTGATATTTTGTACATACGTTAAGTTCGTTATCAAGTTATACTCTGTCTTTATTTGTAGGTGTTTTTCCATTAGTCTTGTTTTTTTCTTAATTAACCTGCGTTCAAAAATAAAATGAAGATTTACAAGTTTCGTCCAAGTGACTAGTCTTTAATCACGTGACGGAAGGGAACATAAGATTCAATACTTTAAAGGTTACGATTGATGAAATGGTGTTATATCTTGGGTTATATTAACTTAAAGTTTTTTAACTTTTAAGTTTAATACATTTACCAGGGTATGAGGGTATATAAAAGAGCATTATCAGGTAATACTCAAAATGGTAGCAGGTATTTGATTGGTTAGAAATCGATACTGAATGTTCACTGACCAATGAAAATACTGAGATTTAAGACAAAGTTCAGGAAAACCCGACTCTATGAAATTGCGACAGAAACGAGATAATTTAATGTCTTAGGGCAGTGTATTTTTGAACAAATATGTTACTTGTCTGTTGTAGGCATAAATTTTGGAATATCATAAAACATTTCCAACAATTTTGATTTCACCATTAAAACATTTTGATAGTTCATGTAACTAAAGTTTAAACTACATGTATTTTAGTATGGCTATTTCTCCTTTTTTCTTCAAGTCTAAAAAATCTTCGTTTTGAAAATTAAGTTAAATTAAGTTACATTTTTATGTACTTTGTTTACGATAGACCTAACTGTGCCAGCTTCATTTGATAATTTTCTTGTAGTATTTAAATCGTTGACAAAAAAAAATATGCGTAAAAGAATGTGTGTTGTTTATTTTTCTATTACATCCTAACGCTGTTCGAGTGTTCAGCCCAAGCTGTGACCTTAAGGGCTGTCTTTTTTATACGAAAAGAAATTTAGTATTGAAATATATACAACAACAGAAGAGCCTGGTAAGGGTACGAAAGGCCGATTGGACCATTTCAATCTCGTGAATTTTCGATTTCATCTTCGTTAATTCACAATTTTAACGTTTTGAATTTACGTTTTCACATAGTTGAAATCGTGAAGTCAATTTACGTTTTCAACGTAGTTTAAATATGAATTCATGAAGTTGAAATCTTGGAATGCATAAAAATGAAATCGTGAATTCTTTATGTTGAAATCAATCGTGAATTCATGATGTTGAAATTATGAATTCGTGAAGATGAACCCGAGAATTCAAGCCACCGGTTTTTCGTACAAAGGCAATTTTCTTCACTCCCGAATTACCAAGAAGAGACATGTTTGCATTGTCCTAAAAAACTGTAGACTAATTCTACAGAGCAAAATCTATGAATTTTTATTTGTAAATTGTCCGCCTTAATAAATGTATGACTGATGCTTAACCAACAACCCACATTGCTTGATATCTGATCGTAATAGTTCGACCATTTCCGTCAAACTTCGGATTTAGCATCGGCTATGTGTTCCGAATGACAAGGGATCGTACAGCCTACATGCCTGAATGGTGTAGGTAACTGACTACCAATATGTTTAGCAGTCGGCAAAATGTCTGATTCACCACCAAGATTATAACTTGCGCCCGGTCAAGAACTGCACAAAACTGGGATTTCCGCGGCCGGTGAAGCATTGTACTATTTATATATTATTATATTTCAGATGTACGTACATAGCGATGTTGTCACTTTAAATCCATTAAGGTTAAAAAAGAATAGCTATTCTCTGACACGCCTCTTTCTGGGCGTAACCGTTGACTCCCACTTTGTTTTACAAAATAGATTATTTGTCTTTGGCCGATTTTACAATGTAATGAACAACCACAAGACTTCGGTATTTTTATTGACTTTTTAATCAACTAATTTCATTAATAATAATTGTATACATTAACAATACAATGATTATTCGGTTAAAAGCAGTACTTTATTTCGAGAGAGAAAAAAATATTTGTAAAAACCGACATACAAGTGAGGTAGATGCTTAATTACATACGTACTTCTGTATTGAAAACTTTTTATTCACGGCACTAGAATTTCCACTTAGCGCGATACAATTTGAACAAATAGAGAACGATTCATATAAATGTTTTAATTGAGTTAACCTCCTGTTTACCTTTCAATTTAGGCATTTTCAACATTTAATATGTAATACTACACTAAAATTGTGTCATACGAACCCGTTTGAAATACGGTGTTGATTT